TCAAATGGTTTTAAAGTTTCTGGTGTGAGAAACATTCGATATTCATCGCTTGGAAATATTAAATATTCAACAATTCGAAATCATCGTCGTTAACTATCAGATAATTAAATACTGAATTATCAAATATTATTATATTATATTATATTAATACATTATTATTATAAATACTGAATTATCAAATATTATTATATTATATTATATTAATACATTATTATTATAAATACTGAATTATCAAATATTATTATATTATATTATATTAATACATTATTATTATAAATACTGAATTATCAAATATTATTATATTATATTATATTAATACATTATTATTATAAATACTGAATTATCAAATATTATTATATTATATTATATTAATACATTATTATCATTAAATACTGAATTGTTAAATGTTTAATTTGCAGTGGAAATATATTTTTAATTTCTAGCCTTGGATGTTTCAAAATTTTCTGGTATGAGAAACATTCGATATTCATCGTTTGGAAATATTAAATATTCAACAATTCGAAATCATCGTCGTTAAGCATCAGATAATCAAATAATGAATTATCAAATATTATTATATTATATTATATTAATACATTATTATCATTAAATACTGAATTGTTAAATATTTAATTTGCAGCGGAAATATATTTTTAATTTCTAGCCTTGGATGTTTCAAAATTTTCTGGTGTTAGAAACATTCGATATTCATCGTTTGGAAATATTAAATATTCAACAATTCGAAATCATCGTCGTTAAGCATCAGATAATTAAATACTGAATTATCAAATATTATTATATTATATTATATTAATACATTATTATTATTAAATACTGAATTGTTAAATATTTAATTTGCAGCGGAAATATATTTTTAATTTCTAGCCTTGGATGTTTCAAAATTTTCTGGTGTTAGAAACATTCGATATTCATCGTTTGGAAATATTAAATATTCAACAATTCGAAATCATCGTCGTTAAGCATCAGATAATTAAATACTGAATTATCAAATATTATTATATTATATTATATTAATACATTATTATTATTAAATACTGAATTGTTAAATATTTAATTTGCAGCGGAAATATATTTTTAATTTCTAGCCTTGGATGTTTCAAAATTTTCTGGTATGAGAAACATTCGATATTCATCGTTTGGAAATATTAAATATTCAACAATTCGAAATCATCGTCGTTAAGCATCAGACAATTAAATACTGAATTATCAAATATTATTATATTATATTATATTAATACATTATTATTATTAAATACTGAATTGTTAAATGTTTAATTTGCAGCGGAAATATATTTTTAATTTCTAGCCTTGGATGTTTCAAAATTTTCTGGCGTGAGAAATATTCATCGTTTGGAAATATTAAATATTCAACAATTCGAAATCATCGTCGTTAAGCATCAGATAATCAAATACTGAATTATCAAATATTATTATATTATATTATATTAATACATATTATTATTAAATACCAAATTGTTAAATGTTTAATTTGCAGCGGAAATATATTTTTAATTTCTAGCCTTGGAGCGTTTCAAAATTTTTAAAATTCTCCCAGAGCGAAATGACTCTTCCGCGGGAATTATTCAAACCGGAGGGATATTATTGAATATGAATGAACAATGAAACTGAATGAAAGTTATTTTATTGTAACTGAAACAATACAACGAAACAAATGAATGATATATCTAAAAGATTTAGTAGCACAACCGAAAGTAAAAAATTCACGTAACTGCTGGTTAAGTCGTGGCCGATCCTCTTAAACGAAACTGTAAATCTTCTTCGATCGCCATTCGTTTCGTCGTGATTAGGTTAATTGCCCGTACAGTCTCTGCTCTCCGTTCTCTCGCGACTAATTAAAGGAAATTATCAGTCTGGTCGTTATTTCAGGCTCATTTCCTAATGGATTCTTTCGCGAGCAGAAAGCGAAGAACTCGGATCCTTTGTAACGCAATGCAAATGGATTTTACTCGATTTTTTGTTCATCCGATACACGTTCGATTTACGAAAGATTGAACTACATTTGTTTAAGAAATACATATTTCTCCAAAATGTAGTAAATAATTAATTTCTTCTCCTCGTTAAAATTTTGTATATCGACGCAGTAAAATACCAAAGTAATTTTTTCAAATTACAAGATCGAGTTATTGAATTGTTCACCAACGTGTCGTTTCGACAATGAACAGAGTGAACGATGATGCATGGACTCGCATTTATCAAGATCGTTTCAAAAAAAAAAAAAAAAAAGTTGTACGAAAAGGGCGAAGAGAAGAAGATGGAAGAAAGGAGAGAAAGATTGCTTGACGTCGATATATCAGTTCATCGGAGTTTGTGTCACGGCGCGAATCGATATAGCGTCACATCGTACCATTGCTCAATGCATTTTACGTGACGCGTTGCGGGCGCGGTGGCCGCGAGACGGAAGCGCCTCCTGATCGCTTTTTTATTGGCGGCGCTGCTCGGAAAAACCAATATTAGCTGTTCAGGCTTGGCCGTGTCGTAGATAAACGCCGAGATCGGTCCCGATAGCTCGATCGTGAGTTTGCCTAGGCATGTTACTCGCAACAGGTTCTCTTCCAACTCGCTTCCAACCGTGTTGCTCGAGGATTTTCGTTCTCTCAAGTCGACTGTTACTCTCGTAAAATTTGGTAAAATTTTTTTAACAACGACCATTACCGAGATTACATTTTATATAATAACTTTCACAGTGAAATAGATTTCGGTTCGGAGCGGTTTTCGTCGTTAATTTGTTGAAAATATCGTATCAATCAATGTATTAATTTGAGATACAGGTTTTTTATTATACTCGGTTATTAGATCTGGCAAAATTAGTTGCTGCAAAAATTTGGAATACTTGGAATATTTTTTAACGATAACAACTGTTGGAGAGCATAATTGTGAAACTTTAATAGCGGAATATGAGTGTTGAATTGGAACAATTGTCAATAATGTGCGTTGAAAATATTGTTAATAATATAGTAATTCATGTAGCTGAGATGTAAGAAATTACAATGTGAGAATAGTGAAACGTGTAAGACTGTGAAGTAGAAATCCAGCGTTAAGTAGAATTGGCCGGTCATGGCCAGACACGCGTTTTCGACACCCTACATATATATAGATACAAGTACGAACAAAGATAAATGTCATAATGCTGCAAATAACTTCTGCGATTCTCAATGGTGAAATGATTTCTCTGGTCCAACTTTTTCATTAAAAAAATTCAATCTCCAAAGGAAGACTATGTGTCTGTAATTTCAAATTTAGAAATTTCTTCTTCCTCAGATGCCACAAAAATCTTCAAATTGAAGCACTCACTGTTGAAAGGTCAATCTGAAAAAATACTTCTCTGTGAGAAAATGAGGAAATGAAGTAAAAAGGTTAGAGATGACACACTTATTCATGTCTTCTCTCTCTCTTTTTCTCTATTTCTCTGGTCAGTCACTATTTAGCGATTGAATGGCAAGGCCGTGGAATTAATCGTGGCTTATATAATGGCACGTAATGATGATTATCGAGCGCAGGGAGGCGAGACGTGTTTTCTGGACAACGCGGACGATCATGGGAACGAAAGAATGTTAATTAAGCGGCCAGTTAATTAGGCCCGTTTAACAAGCAAATTGGACGCGATCGCGCCGATTACTATCGCGGGTAATTATATCGTGACACGTTGAGGCGCAGTTCGGATGAAAAGGTCGGAATTCAATCGCTCTTTCAATCTTGTTCGCCGAAAATTGTCGACAAAATTTTTCTTGCAGAAAATCAGCGAAATCCGCTATCTTCTGCAAATAAAATTTGCAAATCTGAATTTTTTTGCGAAGTTTCCCTTGAAAGGAACTCTCCGTAGCTTGAAATTAAATTGCTTTCTAAATTCATCACTTTGTGTTTTATGAACATTTTTCAATTTGTTTATAGAGTCAGAATTTTGTTTGTTATTTCTATACGCCTGTTACAATTTTGTTCGTTGTTTTCTTTGTTCTGTGATACTTTTTACAATGCTCTGTCCTCTGTTTCAACGAGTTTCGGTGAGATTTTAATTAATTAAACTCGTGTCGTATTTTAAGTTGATTCTCTGACAGCTTTTTAACGTAATCTCTGACATTTTTTATCAGGAATATTTAACACGTTGCTGTTATTTATTTATTTTTATTCTTCTTTATATATTTTTCACTAAGTGTTTTCATAAATCCAATTTCTTTGACGGACCAGACACCCGGAGTACAATACAGTTTCTCTAACAAATAAACGACAAGGCTGAAAAATGCTATTTCCATGCCACGTACGATAAATCATATTTGTTGAACGTACCTTGGGAAAAAGTTGAATTCGATGCCTCTTGATGGTGCAAGGCGACTCCATCGTTACCACGACGAAGAAATTCGACGAGTGTAGTTTGAAAGCTATTTATATCGAGGCGATGTGAACTGTTGTTCTTAGAAACTACGTTGAAACTTGTTGAGAATGATAACAAAACTGCCGTTGCATTACACATACGAAGACAAACTCTCTGCGCATTGATTTGAATCAGTCATGCTCAAATTATTTTCCACGCTGCTTGGCAATCTTTTCGTAAAACATTGTCATCCGTGGTATTTTGATAAGCGGAAGATAGACTTGAACGTACAAAGATTCTGTCGATCCACTTTACTCCTTCTAAAATTCCTTCGAGCAAAATGAAAGACAGAGGGGAGAAAAATACGTTTGAAAAAGTGATTTGAAATCTTCGTAGAATAAAAGAAGACAAATGTCTGAGGGAAAAGTTTCTCTCTAGATCATTCACGACGTTATTTTCGACTCTTAATATTGGTTACTGATGGCGTCACGTGTGATTTTGATTAAAATATTTTTTCTGCTGTTTTCTCGGTATTAAATTCCTGCGAAAAGAATGTCTTTATTAAACTGTCTTTAAAAATAAAAAGAAAAAAAGAAGAAAGGAAAGAAACGGAGAGGTATGCTTAAAAATCGTTTTGCTTTTCTGTCGGCAGTTTCGACGTGGAAAATGGCGCTTCGACGTTGGATGGCGGCGCTGGAGGCGGCGGCGGTGCCTCGCCAAGCGCAGGTTTGGTGCTCCAAACTCTGCCGCAGCGACGAGAGAGCTTCCTGTATCGCAGCGACAGCGACTTCGAGATGTCGCCGAAGTCGATGTCTCGAAACAGTTCGATCGCCAGCGAGAGGTAAGCATAAGCCTGAGAATCTATGCTTCAACTTTTGGTCCCTGTCTCGACTCCAGGATAAAAGGGTCTTTTATTTTTTAATTTTTTTTTTTTTTTCTTGTTCTCCATGCCGGGAGGAAGATCTAATCTTGTAAATAATGAACTGGGAATGTCGGATTGTCGATTGAGATGTTTAGTCTGTGATCGTGATTGTTCTGTATTGTTCTGTTGGAAATTGCTATGATTTTACGATTTTGTTGGAAACTTGCATCGGAGTGTGGCAGTAGAAATAGTCGACTGTGGTCAGAAAGTTTTGACTCCTACGTGAATTTTAATTCCACAATTGAATTTCGTATCGAAATTCCTTTGTTTAATCTTTAGATTAAAATGCTCACGAGCCTCTGAAACTTGAGTCGAATCGAGACAGTATTAAACGAATGAAAATTTTCTAATCCCGTTCGATATTTCAATTTAACATCGTTGGAAATTAATTACACGTTTGCACTGATTGATTTACCGAAGTAATTAGTGCGTGGTTGCGTGAAATTTATTGTTACTAATTATTCAACGTCGGGCTGTGGCCGCGTAATTAGACGAATCTGCTATAATTTACACCCACGTGGATTGCAGATTCCTCGTGACACGACGCCGTTAATGAACTCATTTGTAAACACGACCGTGATAATTGGCCTGTTGCAGTGTAATGCCACGTCTGTGGTCATGAATAATTAAAAGGGGATTAGAAATCGAATGCTAGGTCTCTGTTTACCCATTAACGTTTTATGGACTGATCTGACTACGCATGGTTCATTAGGATTAAACACGCCACCGTGCCACGAATAATCGTGAAATCATTTTGATGCCGATTGCGTCTTGATCTGCATTATCGATTGGTAAGAATTGATTTTACCGACTGTAAAAGTAACTAGAATCGCGTAGGTAATTCAGAATGCGACGATAGCCGCAGTTGTAAGTGCAGTGGCTCATTCTATCGACGGAGATAAAGTAGGAATTGTGGTATTTTCACTGTTGTGCCGTCTTTAAGAGGTCGAAAGTATTTTTATGCACATTTGTTTGTCGGTATTGTAGTGCGTCTTATTTTTGAAGACTTCAAAATTTATGTTGCATATAAAAGATAAAAGAAGAAATTCAATCTGAATCTATAATTAGATAATAATGAAAATGTAATGGTATCGATTCCATCGATTTTGGTAAGATTTATTGTAAGAGCGACTGGTGAAACTTTTCTGTGTTTGACCATGGTCGTGCCGATTCTACTGCCTCCGATCTGTAAACTTTCATATCCAATTAAAAACTCGAATAGAATTGATTGAAGGGTAAAAATTATATCTTTGTTCCTTTTTTATGCATCCGATAAAAGCGTATTCGTAACAATATTGTCCAATATTCTACTGGGATCTTTCTTTCTCCTATGTGTAGCTTGATAAAGTATCGTAGCTTTCTATGGTAATGATGCTTAACATATATTTCTATCATTTATTTTTTATTGTTTCTCACTTGTTCGTAGCTCTTGTACATAGAATTGTACAGCAAGGTTGTAAGAACATGTGTTAAAAGAGACGTAAAACTAATTACTCTTTGTAAGAATAATTTTCACTTCACTACAATACGTTCAAATTTCCGCGAAGGCAATTAGTAATAAAAATAACAGAAATTCTTTCACAAGTACTTCTTCTGTTATTCCAAGAATATTCATGCCTTGTTGCACGACAGGGAAAAAGAACTTTTCTTCTTTTTTTTTTTTTTTTTTTTTTTTTTTTCTTTAAATCGTGAAAAACGGGTGCGGGGTGTGACAATGCGAATCATGTTTGTGATCCTTGGGTTGCAGGTTCAAAGAGACAGAGCTTCCTGTCGAGCGAGCGTATGTACACGATCCTATTATCTATTATTAGCCTCTTTCGTTTCACTTTACACACACACACACACACTCATATATATATTATATATTATATATATTATATATATAGTCACAGAAATACACGAAACTTACTAATGGACACCCCTCGCCACGATAATTACGATCGCTGTATAATATCGTTTCGATTCGCTGCCTCTTCCTTTAACCACTTTCTTTTTCTCTTTCTCTGTCACACACATATAAATAAATATCGAGTAATGGGAGTAGATCGAGGATGCATGAGATTGTTCGTTGTTTGAAAGAAGAAAAGAAAAAAAAAAAAAAATAAAGAACAAAGAAAAGAAACAATAGAAAACAAGAAAAGAGAAAAATGAAATTCTGCCATAATTTCGGGGCTGAGTAGTTTGAGTTGTAACTGTTGAGTTAAATTGCGGCTTGCTTTCAGCGAATTTTTCTTTGCGATTGGCTTTCGTTTTGAATATATCTCGTAGAATAGAACGTTGCGATCTGTCACGCAGAAAGGTGATTTTAATTTTTGAAATTACATGAAATGTGATTTTAATTTTTAGTAATTTCCAAGATGTTTTGATATTTAACTTCAAGGTTATCAATCGTAAATTATCTCCGTTAAATGAAAAGTTAATTTACTATGGCTCTTCAGTTAAGAATAACTCATATTAACTTTAATGCCAAAAGTTGAAAGAAATTGTCGTTCGATGAGAAGAAGACTACTAGTTTGAAACATAAAATGACTATAGCCAATAAAAGAATTTTAATTTCAATTGCCAAATATCCGCGTTCCTAATTTTCACCGGGTGTGTATCTTTCTGCGTAACACGTTCATCCAATTACAATTATTTCGAAAATAATAAAAAAAGCAAAAAAAAGAAAAAAAAAATGAAAAACATCGACCGAGATTATCAAATAGTCGAACGCGCTAATTAGCAAACATTTTTAACCAAGCAACGATCGACTCCGAGTTGTTTATCGGTTGTACAGTCGCTCGTCTGTTTCTGTCGTCGTTTTCTGAAAAAGCAAAAAAA